ACAGAATAAGTAAGTGCATGAAAACCTAGTAAAAAGAAAAGCTAAAAACATGCTCTCTTGACTGGCTCTTCGAATCTTGTCAAAAAGATTTATTAATAAATGAACAGACAAGTAGAAAATACAATCGAGCATTTAAAAAAAACAAACATTTAGCCTAATTTTTATTGCCTAGCCTGACTGGCTACTAGCAGCTAGCTTGTTGACAACTACTTTTAACCACCCATCAGCCCAGCAACACCCTAAGGCAGAAACTTGTCCACCCTAAGGACAAGATTGCCAGAAACAAACAGAGCAATGTGGTGTATGCAGTGCAATGCAGTGAGGAATGCTCGGACCTGTACAGTGGGGAAACAAAACAGCCATTAGACAAACGTATGGCTCAACAAGGCGGTCCACAACATCAGGCCAGGACCCAGCAGTCCACCTCCCCCTGGAGGAGGGGGGCCACTCCTTTGATGATCAAAATGTGTGCATTCTAGCCAGGTAGGACAGATGGGTGAGAAGGGTGCCTCAGACACCAATTATCACACGCCTATAATGCCGTCCTTAGTTCTCTCCCCAGGAAGTACAGCTGTAACTCACACCTCTAATCTGGTAACACCAACGACCTCCACCCAGAGGACAGGGAGGGGGAACAATCCATCATAGGGCCAACGACTCACATGACCGTTTAAAGGTCATATTGTTCGTCCACTTTATTGGACACCACACCCCCCTTTGGGGTGGATAAATAAATACCTGGAAACTCCCCACCAGGACAGTAGAACTGATGAAGCCTCTTGGATGAGAGCAGAAACGTCTTCAACCTACTTGGTGAGTCCAGTTGCCTACTTTAAAACTGCTGTGGAGATTACTTTTAACCAGCTAATGTGTGGTTATATTTAAAATATTTTTGGTTTTAACCCTTTACCTGTTACACATGCAAACACAGCAGGATCAGCCGACCCTTAAAAAAGTGAAATAATTTAAAAAACTGCGTTAACAAACAATAATTATCGGCGTTAATGAACTAATACATACATATGTAACCACGTGTTCTGCCAAGTGCTACCAATTCCAATAAACACAGGAGAAGCAAGTGGTTCAGTACAAAATAAGACTGGGTGATTTATTAATCTCATCAAGACCATTAATACAAAGCAGTTAAAAGGCCACATACCAACAAATAAACCGACTGCTGGATCAAGCTGTTACAGTGCCACCTGGAGGAAAAACAAAAACAATCAGTTCATCTGCAGTGACTAATGAGAGGGCAAATTAGAAAACAAAAATTACTAATACCAAAAAGTCTTGGCTATAAAACTTGCCCCCAACAATACTGGTGTTGGAAATAGAAAAAGAAAAACTCCTCTTTAATCTCCGGACGTCTCCGTTTATTCAGTAAAGTTAGTGAGAAGGCAAAAAGGGGGACGAGTGATTTCATTTTCCACTGAGATCCAGCAGGTGGTCGTCAGACATCCTTTTAGTTTTTCTACATTTTCTTTTCAATATTTCTCCACATATTTCTGCAAAAACATGGGTTGGCGTTTATCCTGCCCTGATCCATGTGTAGAAAGTGAATTTAAACAGCTGCATAGGGACCACAGCCTTTTTTACAAACACCACCTATAACAACCGTGGCTCGTCAACAGTACAGCCTAAAGTGCACAAAGTGTGTTTTCTCGGAAAAAACAAACAAACAAAAAAAAAAAAAGAAAAAAATAGTTTTCCAAATTTTTCCCTATGCTCAAACAATTGCAATACATATGTATATATATGGTTTTTTACAGATAAATATGTGTGTATATATATATACATAGACACACATATATATGTATACACACATACATACACACATACATATATATATGCATATTTATGTAGGTGTGTATATATAACAAACACATATATTTAACTGCTACTTAATTACAACTCTATCCTGTTGTTCTTGAGTTGTCAGTTTAAAAAAAAATCTTTTGAAAAAGAGAGAAAGGCTTTAGTAGGATGTACAAAGTGAAGCACACGTCTAAGTGCTTGGTTAATTTTCTATCTTTTCATTGCTTTAAAAACAGCAAATTGAGGGAAGGGAAGAAGAAGAAAATGGCTTTCCTCAGTTAATACTCCCAGTGTGTCCACCGGTAGATTGTCTGTAAGTACGTTAGTGACAGTATCCCGTTGTTTTTTTTTTTTTGTAACTTTTTTTTTTAATCCGACTGTAGCAGCATTGGATTATTAGGCAATATCTGACTGAAACAGATGCGGATGAAAATTTGCTACAACAGGCAGGAGGAGACAAAAAAAACTTGTCATTTTATACAAATTATTTAGTTAGTGTATACATGTTATATGTATATATATTTATATATATATATATATACACAGTATCCACAAACATGTACAATTTCATAGTGTATAGCTTTGTTCTAAACATTACATAGGCAACTCTATTTTTTTTTTTAGCATTTTAGACTTTGTTTGCTCATCTCTGTAGAGTAGAAAAAAAATAAAAGGCACATCTGAGCGTGATGCATGGATTATTTCAGTCTTTTTTCCCCAAAGTGAAACCATATTGTTTCAAGCGTGGAAAAAAAAAGTGTTGGCTTAAAAAAGTTCCTCTTTATTTAGGCTTTTGGTGCAGCCACTAGGGGGAGCTAACTCAGCTTTGGTGGCTAAGGTTGCAGTGCTAAAAGTTTGTAGACCAATGAAGAGCACATTGTCTGAGTGCAGCACTGCAGGTTTCTGAGGGGAGCAGGTTAAGACATCAGGTTTTCCCACAGTAGGACAAGGGTGAAGGGGAAGTATTCTTCTTAGTACGACGGTCG